GTCATACGTCGTTCACCACCAAAGTACAGCTGAGCCCAGCCTAGGAGCAGCTGTCAGGGTGTTGTCTTCTTGAAGAAGACACTGGAACAAATAAATCACTTTCTTTTGTCGCTGGTCACGGGGTAAAATAAACTTGGAGATGCTGCTGTTGCTTTCCAACACAGAGGTCGGAAACAACAAGGTCTTGCTTGAATGGGGAAATTCTGGGGTTGGTGCTGTTGGCTTCCGGCATGGATGTCGGAAACAACAGCAATCGTGACTGGAAACACGGGGGCTTCCAGTCCTTGAGAACTGGGGATGGATCCAGCTGAGGCAAGCTGTGCTCAACTGGAGTAATTGGGGTGGTGTCGTTGCATTCCGGCACGAATGTCGGAACCAACAACAACATGACCGGAAAGCTCGTCCGGTCCGTAAAATAGAACTGGGGTTGGATCCAGCTGAGGCAAACTGTGCTCAACTGGAGTAACTGGGGTTGGTGCTATTGCATTCCGGCACGAATGCCGGAAACAACAACAACAACGTCTTGACCGGACTCTTCGTCTGGTCCGTAAAATACTGGGACAACAATCGTGACCAGAAAGCATAGGGGCTTCCGGGCCGTGAGAACTGGGAATGGTGGATCCAGCTGAGGGACTCAGCTGGAGGAACTGGGATGGTGTTATTGCATTCCGGAATGCCGGAAACAACAACAACAGTGTCGTGACCGGAGTCTTCTTCCGGTCCGTAAAATACTGGAAATAGAACTGCATGGAGATGCTGGGGAATCTTCTTGAAAAACTGAGTATGATGTAGCATATCCAGGCTTGTTCTTCACTAGGTCGTGGTTGAATACTGGGGGATGGGGTTGGTGTTATTGCTTTCCGACACGAATGCCGGAAACAATAACAACAACGTCTTGACCGGAATCTTCTTCCGGTCCGTAAAATACTGGTACTGAGACTGGAACTGCATGGAGATGCTGTGGAGTCTTCTTTGAACTGAGTATGATGTATGATGTAGCATATACTCCAGGCTTGGTCTGCACCAGTAGGGCTTGGTTGAAAACTGGGGGATGGGGTTGGTGGTATTGCATGCCGGCCCAAATGCCGGAAACAACAACAACAACGTCGTGACCGGAATCTTCTTCCGGTCCAGAAAATACTGGAAAAGGAACTGCATGGAGATGCTGGGGTTGGTGTTATTGCATTCCGACTCGAGTGTCGGAACCAACAACAATCGTGACCGGAAGCACTGCTGGGGCTTCCAGTCCTTGAGAACTGGAGATGGATACAGCTGAGGGACTCAGCTGGAGGACCTGGGGATGGCGTTATTGCTTTCCGGCACGGATGCCGGAAACAACAACAACAACAACGTCGTGACCGGAATCTTCTTCCGGTCTGTAAAATACTGGAACTGATACTGGAACTGTATGGAGATGCTGGGGAATCTTCTTTTAAACTGAGTATGATGTATGATGTAGCATATACTCCAGGCTTGGTCTGCACCAGGAGGTCTTGGTTGAATACTGGGGGATGGGGTTGGTGTTATTGCATTCCGGCACAAATGCCGGAAACAACAACAATCGTGACCAGAAGGCATAGGGGCTTCCGGTCCTTGAGAACTGGGGATGGATCCAGCTGAGGCAAACTGCACCCAACTGGGGGAATACTGGGGCTGGTGTGTTCCGGCACGAATGTCGGAAACAACAACAACTGCGTCATGACCGGAAGACTGTTCTGGTCCGTAAAAGACTGGAAAAGGGACTACATGGAGATGCTGGGGAATTTGCTTTAAAAATGAGTATGATGGATGAGATAGCATATACTCCAGGCTTGTTCTTCACTAGGTCTTGGTTGAATACTGGGGGATGGGGTTGGTGTTATTGCATTCCGACCAGAGTGTCGGAAACAACAACAATCGTGACCGGAATCTTCTTCCGGTCCGTAAAATACTGGAAAAGGAACTGCATGGAGATGCTGGGGAATCTTCTTTAAACTGAGTATGATGTATGATGTAGCATATACTCCAGACGTTGTTCTGCAAAGGAAAGGTCTTGATTGAATACTGGGGGATGGGGTTGGTGTTATTGCGTTCCGACCGGAGTGTCGGAAACAACAATAACAGCGTCGTGACCGGAATCTTCTTCCGGTCCGTAAAATACTGGAAAAGGAACTGCATGGAGATGCTGGGGAATCTTCTTTAAACTGAGTATGATACAGCATATACTCCAGGC